GTTTTAACTTACTATGTTTAAAGATATATATATATATATACACACACACACACACACACACACACACACACACACACACACACACACACATACACACACACACACACACCAATGCTAGGATTTACTTGCATTTCATTTACATTTACATTTTGACCGATAGCTAACTTGATTTCTACCTCTTTCTTCACCAATCCGTGCATCGATCGACATTTAGGTTACGCGCGAGTTGGTGAAATAAATCAGAAAAGGTTGAAAATCGGCCAAAATGTGCAAGTAAATCCCAGCATTATGTAAATATAAGAAAGAAAAAAGAGAAAGATTAAAAAGTATAGACAATTCAACTACAAATAATAAAAATTACAATTGCTGTTTGTAATAGTTAAACTTTTTGTGTATCTTATCTTTTTCTTTCTCCATTTAATCAGATTTGTTATATAATTATGTTCTTTAATATATTTCTTTAATATACTATACTTTAATAATTGTTAAAGTATATATAATAAATCACATATATAAAAAGAAAAAACCTATATGTCAATCTGGAAAAGATAATCTACAATAGAAATACAAAGATTCTTTACTATTACTTTATAATTTTTGTACAGTTACATACCATAGCAACACGTTTCATCATTTTTTACGTAATTTTTTGTTCTCACACAACTACAACTCTCACCACATGATCACCTGTCTATTACGTATACAATCTTTGAATTATCAAACTGTCAGGTCTATTGCGTTTTCGAAATCTTCAAAAATTTTTTAACTTAAAATAAAATAGATATATATTTGGGCGTTGAAAAGAGAGAAAGCGAAGATGCGAGTGTAAAAAGTGCAAACAACGCGAACTGACATATGATGTAAATATTAACATTATGGTATAAAAAAAAACTTGCAAAAAAGATTTACAGTGAATTACGAAACGCAGCTCTTTTGTGAGGAGGCCGGAATAATAAAAAAAAGAGGAAAATAAGAAATAGAAACTATTGTATACGAATATGACATTCAAAAGTCACGCAAGACCGCGGGATGCTGATTGGACGAGCGATGTTAAGTTGAATTCTCAAAACTATTAAAGGTCTGTTCTCAGCTACGATTCTGCGATTGTGTGCGATAGTTGTCAAACGCCAGTCAAAAATCGTTTAGAATGTGGGAGAATGCAATAGAATGCACTCTGATGCGTTGTCGACCAACTTAAGTATCGTCAATAGTTTGAAAAATTCAATAATTTAATAAAGTGTGATATTTTTTTTTAAAACCGCAACGATGCACGATGCTTACGAAGAAACGTCTATATTAAATATCACTGTGCAAATTGAGTCTATGGCTGCTTATGGTAAGAGATGAATCTTAGTTGATCATGTGGTGCGATTATCAGAAGAATTCCTGTGAATACACAGAGCATTTATTGAATTTTAATTGTTTTAGATGACAACTTACTAATAGGCACCAGAGAAGGTCATCTTCTTATGTATAATGTTCCAGTAGTGTTTGATGACAGCCACAAATTAGAATTGTTACGTCACAGCAAAAATTTTAACAAAAAACGCATCAATCAGATAGATGTTGTGCCGGAATATAATTTATTGATCATTCTAACAGGTATACTTGATATCATGAGTTAATTGATAATTCTTATTTCTATCTCTTAGTTTAATTGAGGAAAATTTTAGATAACATTGTATGCATTCATGATTTAAATTCACCAAACTTTCAACAAATATGTCAATTACCAAAGACTCGCGGCGCCACTTTGTTTACTCTGGAGATTCAGTCGACCGAAAGCCTAACAGGAGAAAAGAACACTGTGGTTCGTTTATGTGTCGCTGTCAAACGTAAATTACAACTGTATTATTGGAAGGGAAAGAAATTTGAAGAATTTAACAATTTTGAGTTAACAGTGCCAGATATACCTCGTCAATTGTCATGGTAATACATGCTGAACAATTATTGAAATGCTACAGCATATGCCTCTATTTTGATAAATTTGTATTAATTATTGAGGTGCGGCGAAACATTAATATTAGGATTTCGTGGATTGTCCTATACAATTTTCGACCTAAACGATAAACCTAAGGAGCTCTTTCCCACTGGTAAATCTCCAGAACCAAGTATTACGAAACTATCAGATAGTTCTTTTGTCCTGGGCAAAGATTCTCAATCATTTATCATGGATACAAAAGGAGAATTGGTTCAACACAATCCAGTAAAATGGTCAGATGCGCCAAATGCAATAGGTATAGAGAATAGACTATCATTATTATTTCTCTCTTTAATTATAATTAATCAAATTTTTTTGTAACATTTTAGCATGGGATGATCCTTACTTACTTGGTATTGTGCACGATAGATTAGAAGTGTATACATTGGAAGGATGTCTACATATTCAGACAATAAAGGATTTAAATAAAGCTAGACTTATATATCGATGCAAGCAAGGGAGAGTCTTTGTGGCATCCATTAGTCAAATTTGGTGTGTCAATGCAATTGATGTTACTTTACAAATTAGGACTTTGCTGGAGCAAAATCAGTTTCAGCTGGCATTAAAATTAACTGTATGTTACTTATATCTAATGTTAATATAAATTATAATTCATTTTTTATATATGCAATATTATTGACACATATTTTAGAATTTATCAGACATAACAGATGAGGAGAAAGTCAAACAGACGTATAAAATACAAACATTGTATGCACATCATCTGTTCTACAATAAACGGTTCCAAGAGGCAATGGATTTATTCTTGAAACTGGGAACTGATCCATATGAGGTGATAAGATTGTTTCCAGATTTAGTTACACCTTCGACCAATACTCATGAACTCAATGAACCAGCACCCAGTTTGCCAAAATTGCAAGATCATGATTTAGAAAAGGGCTTACGTGCATTGATAGTTTTTTTAACTGAAGTCAGGCATAAGCTAATGGCGAAGGACAAAGAACTTAGTAAGGAAAAAAATGGAGTAAATGGAGAAAAAAATTTAACCGCTGTAGCTACGGAGCAGCTTCTAAAGATTATAGATACGACCCTTTTAAAATGTTATTTGCAGGTAAAAGAGAAGAAGGATAATAAAATCTATATGTGGAAGAAGTTCCGTACTGTTCACACGGAATAAACATTGAACGAAATTTGTTTTAGACCACTGACGCTTTGGTAGCTCCTTTACTTAGACTGAATCACTGTCATTTGGCAGAAGCTGAGAAAACTTTATTAATGCATCAGAAATATCCGGAGCTTATTATATTGTATCAAACCAAAGGACAACACAAGAAAGCGTTGGAGCTACTGGAGAAACATGCAAAGGAAAACGATTCTAGTCTGAAAGGCACTGAGAGAACTATACAGTATTTGCAACATCTCGGCAAGGATCACATGGATCTAATACTAAAGTTTGCTGGATGGGTTTTAACGGAGGATCCTGAACAAGGCCTTAGAATATTTATGGAAGATATACAGGTATTTTTTTGTTCTGTTCTGTTCTTTGTTTTCACATTTAATATTTTCCTTATTTATACATTTTTGTTGCCAATTTTGTTTGTAGGAAGTTGAACATTTACCTAGACCAAAGATATTGGATTACCTTCTACGTTTTCACAAAGATTTAGTGATACAATACTTGGAACATGTAGTACATGTTTGGGAAGACACCAATCCGTTATTCCATAATGTTTTGATACATCAGTACAAAGAAAAGTGTTTAGCTTCTATGAATGCAAATGCAACTCCAGCGGAGAAAGAAATTTCACAACATATTCGACAAAAATTACAACAATTTTTAGAGAAATCGACACATTATACACCGGAAACAATATTAGTGCATTTTCCATTTGACAGCTTGTTCGAAGAACGTGCAATTATACTTGGACGACTCGGTCGTCATCAACAAGCCATATCGATATACGTTAGCCTTTTAAATGATATACCACGCGCAATACAATATTGCCAAAATGTATATATAAGGTATCAAAGTAAGTGGATTTTAAAATATTCAGTATTAATCATATAAAGGTAATATATAATTATTTGCATATTATATACTTTAAGATCAAGATCATACATTGGAGAAACCAAAGCAGACGGATAATGCTGATGAAGTATACGTTTTGCTAATTCAGCAATTATTGAAACCCGACAATGAAGGAATTTTGATGGCTGGTAAGTATTGACATAAACAAAATTTGTTTGATACAATGTTACGTATATATCATTATTTTTATTGTTTAAGGTTGTAATCCGGAAATTCAAAGAACGACACAACCAGATTTAGAAATGGCCCTTCGATTGTTAGAGGAGCACGCCTCGAAGATAAATCCTATGAAAGTCCTGGAGGTGCTACCGGATTCCGTTCCTATTGGTAGAATAAAACATTTCCTGGAAGTTAGCTTACAGAATAACTTAAACGCAAGGCGGAGAACGCAGGTTCTCAAAGGGCTGCTTTACGCGGAACATTTACAAGTGCAGGAGCAACGAATGCATTACGAATCACAGAGTGTCCTCATGACAGAATTTAATATATGTCCAGTTTGTAAAAAACGATTTGGTAACCAAAGGTTTGTATATGTATCTATTATTTAAAGTATTTAAAGTATTTATCGCATGTATATTTAAGGCCTCTATTCTGTAATTTTTAACGATAACGTCTGTATCATTACATTATTACTGCATAGTTTTTTTACGATATATAAAACATGCACATTGATACGCAATGATACTGTTAAAGAATTATAGAATAAGGATCTGAATAATATATAAATCATTTATAATACTAATCAATTTTGTTTCCTTAGCGCTTTTGCGAGATATCCCAATGGTGATATAGTGCATTACTCTTGTCAAGACCGCAAGGGATAAAGGCGGAGTTGCAAGATTATACATAAGTCACATAAGTTTAAGATTGTATATATCGAATGTACGCATTTTATATATATGAATTTCGCATACATGAAATTCCGATATATGTATTGTTACGCAAAATTAAAAAATTATCTACTCTGCAGTCGTATTAAAAATTAATAGTAAAACTATTTTTCATAGGAAATTTATTAAATCGAACTTCTTTCTTTTTTTTTGTACTTGTACATTTCATAAAAGAGAAATGCAAACAAAAAAATATTAATTATGTAGAATACGTAAGATGTATTTTACCGATCGAAATCTTCGCAGTAATAATCGAAGTCGTCGAACGTGAAATAAAATTTGAAAAATTACGAACTAAGAGCATAGTCCATTCGCATCTCGGCTTTGAATTCCTCTGCGAGTATTTTAATGCCGAGGCGCGATTGGTTGCACAATGCACGCCCGCGTGACATTCGAAATCGAAGTTTGCGAAGCAAAAACTAGTGGCTTCTTCGCGACCGCAGAATTTTTACTATAACGATAACGGCGAACACATAGCATCTATTTACATAATCACGAGAGAGAAAAAAAAGAGTTAAAGCTCCAAGGAGTACAGTGTGGAGGATGGGGCGTGACCGCGGTCCAGAATACGGATTGATGATGTCATAAGCGATCATGTATTCCTACGCCGGCCGGCGTAAAACGGCCGAGAGATAGGTACAGTACAGATGAGAATGCTCGCAATTGTCCAAAGCATGATCCTACACCATGTCTTCGAAGGTTGATTTGTTTAGTTAAAAATCTTATTTATGTCAATTTTATTTTTCATTTTATTATTATTATTTTTAATATATTTATTATTATTTTTAATATAT